TTTCCTTTTTCCCTGAACCTTATCAAACCCATCAACAAGTCTTTTTGAATGTATCTCCAAAATATAGCCTCAATCCATCCACTTCTGTACATTTTAATTATTGCCTTCCAATTGGTTCAAATCAGCATCATCTCCCACATGGATTACTGAAGTAGTCTCCTAACGGATCTTTTTGCTTCTACTGTTGCTCCCTGTGACCTGTTTTCCAAACTAAGATCAAAACAATCACTTTAAAATAATGAGATCCTGCGTAAAAACATGCCAATGGCTCCCCACTGCAATCAAAATAAAAATCAAAGCTTTTAAGGTCTGACTGATCTGGCCACTGCCTTCACATGCCCGAGTAGAGCTCCTATTCTCTTGTTTGTTCACCCACCAGCTTTATTGGGTTTCCTCCTGTTCCTCTACCACGCCAATCTCTTTCCACTTCGGGGCCTCCTCCCTTGACTTCCCTCTGTCCAGAACATTTTCTTCCCCAGCCCTCTGCGTGAATGGCTACTTCTTACCCTCAGCTCTTCAGCTCTAATATTCAAAGGGCCTTTCCTGACTTTTTTTACCTAAGGTACCCTCTCTCCTATTTACTCTCCCACTAGGTTATTCACACTTAACACGATTTGAAATTGTATCATTTATACCTTCATTTGTTTACTGTCTGTCACCCTCTACCAGAATTAAGCTCCAAGCATTCTAGGCACTTGTCTGGTCACTGTTATGTCCCTAATGTCTAGAGGAATGCCTACCACAAAGTTGGTACTCAAAAAAACCATTCCCAAATAATAAATTTTGATGATTCAAATAAGGTAGTTTCAATGGTAGGAGGACTAACAAATGAAGGAGTAGTAAAGAAAAAGAAATATAAAACGTAGACTTCTTTTACAAAGCGTGATTGTGAGAAAAGAGGTAGAGAAAGGTTGAAGGGCCAACGCAAGGGGAGAAAAACTTGTTTCTTAATTTCCTGCGTGTCAAGGACCCCTTTCAGGAATAAGCAAAGCCCTGGGTCCTAGGACTTCCCATGTGGCCTGAGTGGTAAAGAATCTGCTTGCCACTGCAGGAGACTTAAGAGATGCAGGTTTGATCCCTGGATTGGGAAGATCTCCTGGAGAAGGGCATGGTAACCTATTCCAGTGTTCTTGCCTGGAGAATCCCATGAACAGAGGACCCTGGCAGGCTACAGTCCATGCGGTCGCAAAGAGTTGGACACGACTGAAGCAACTTAGCATGCACCTGAGTCCTGACCTCAGGAAAATGCAAACACATACAAAAGTTTACAAACCATTCCAGGGGGTTCAAGAATTCCCCAGAGTTCTAGTACTCCAGGATAAGGATTCTTACAGTATAAACACAATGACGATTCCTAAGATATGGGCTCGTGAAGAAGGGCCCCTGAGCTAATAAGAGGAAACCAGGTAAGGGGTGTGCACTGTCCTTTGAGACAAGACAGAAAAAGCAAGGTCAAGTGAAGATTTAAATAAGAAGGGGTAGAAATTTGAAGTTCCTGCCTGACAGAATTTTAATTTTTCAGTGATATAGGAGTTAAGATCATGTGTTAAAAAGTATCATCAGGGGCTTCTCTGGAGACTCAGTGGTAGAGAATCCACGTGCCAATGCAGGAGACATGGGTTCAATCCCTGGTCTGGAAAGAGTCCCACATGCCACAAAGAAACTAAGCCTGTGCACCACAGCCGAGCCTGTGCTCTGGAGCCCAGGAACACAACCACTGAGCCCATGCGCTGCGACTACTAGAAGCCGGGGCGCCCTAGAGCCTGTGCTCCACAAAAGAGAAGCCGCTACAAAAAGAAGCCCTCACACAGCTAACAAGTGGCCCCTAATCGCAGCAACTAGAGAAAAGCCCATAAAGCAACCAAGACCCAGCACAGCCAAATGTAAATTAAGAAATAAATAAAATTTTAAAATAAATAAATAAAATCAGTTGCATTTAAAATGTATTCATCAGAGTTGAGCAAAATATCAGGCATATAATGTGTGTTCAACAAAAGTCTATTAAATATTTTGGCTGAATAACTGAAAACACTGGAGTTATCCTATATGGGATTCTGAAATCTGGTTGTACAACAGGTCAACTTGTTTTCTTTGAAGGAAATTGTCTCCAAAAGTTTAGGTTGAAAGACACTTTGAGGTAAGAAGGAATAGCTTCACTAACAAAGAAGGACGTAGAAAACCACGTAAAATTTTATGAATAATTTTAAGGTAGATTCTGTATTTATAATAAAAATAAGTGAATAAACGTTTTAGGCATTCACTTCAAATGAAATAGTAAGGTCACTTGATAACTTTTCTTAAAAAGAAATAATCTCTCCAGTCATTCCATCCAAGCCCAAGCTCCTCATTTCTCTCCAATCCAGACCTTACTGTAAAGAAATAACCTGCTTTTTTTAAAGGAGCTTAAAACAGTGGCCTTAGGAGAAGTATCATTTATCATTTCCTCTTGTTGTCAAGAGGCTTTTCTGAACCAAAAGAATTTAATAATGTAGATTGATGTTAACAACATAACTAAGACAAACAGAACTACCTTACTTTGTTTGCTGTTCAGTTGCTAAGTCATGTCTGACTCTGCGACCCATGGACTGTGACCAGCCAGGCGCCTCTGTCCATGGGATTTCCCAGGCAAGAATACTGGAGTGTGTTACTGTTTCCTTCTCCAGGGGATCTTTCCGACCCAGGGAGCAAACTCACATCTCCTGCATTGGCAGGCAGGTTCTTTACCATTGAGCCACCAGGGAAGCCCACCTTATGAACTAGCTCACTTCAAAAGATTATCATGGGTACATGTGTAAGAAAACTCACAGCAGTGCTGTTCATATTTATCAAAAACTGTAGAAACTATAGCGTTCACCAACAGCACAGTAGATAAACTGTGGTATACCCTTACAGTGGAACAACAAGCAACTAACTAATTACAAGTGATAACTAGGATCAACCATAAAAAAAAATGTTGAGTAATGAAGCAAAATAAAAGGAGAACTTAGTACAATTCCATGTACACAAAGTTCAAAATGAGCCAAGCTAGAAAGTGCAACTTCACATACAATGACAGTGAAAATCTAAAGAAAAGCAAGAAGTCATGATAGGGGCTACATCTGGGGACAAGGAGGCAAGTATGATGGGAAAAGGGAATGAATAATAACACACCTGCTCCAGGACTTCCTGGTGGCCCAGTGACTAAGAGTGTGCACTCCCAATGGAGGAAACCTGGGTTCGATCCCTGGTAGGGGAACTATATCTCATATGCTGCAACTAAAACCCGTCAAAGTCAAATAAATAAATAATAAATAAATAAATATTTTAAACATAACACCTGCTCTAACCACTTCTAACTGGAGTACTTTAAAAGCAAATTATCCTGAAACAAACTGAAAAAGAAAGAGACTGAGACTGTCTACTTCAGAGGAGTCATAAGCAGTGACTTTCTTCAGAAGGTAAACAAGATTTATTTTGGAAGTTGCCATTAAATAACGCTAAAATGTATATTGTTTAAAATAAATATTTCATGAATATACCTTCCTAGTTATTACCCACTAATTAAGACTAAATGGTCTAGTTCCTTGATCAATTCAAATACAAACAAAAAATCAGTTTTATCCTGGATGCAGATTTGAATAATGGGACACTTTCCTTTCATAGTTATGTTGTTCTTCAATGGCTCATTCGTGTCCCACTATGAGACCCCACGAACAGCAGCACACTAGGTATCCCTGTCCTAAACTATAATAGGTTAGTTATGTCCTAAACTGTAATAGATTCGTTACAACTATTATTTCATAGTTATAACTGATCTGTTTTCTTATAATTTCAACCCGATTATTATTCTGTTTATTTCCTTACGGGTTAAAGAAAAAAGTGTATTTGAAATTCTGAAAACCACTAGAGGAAATTTAAAATAACGAATATCCTGAGATATAATGACCTAGACTGGAAGAAGGAAAACAAACACAGAGATACTGTTATCTATGCAATGTTTCTTGAAATCGCTATTGCTTTATTTAAAGAATTAAAAGTGTATTCCTTTGCGTGTTTAGGTATCATGTCCATGATCGCAGCAAAGTTATTCAATTTAAATCTCAAACACTTTTTCAAAGGAAAGCCAGCTTACCCTGCCTTTCTTGTGTATAATTTCTACTGTAATATACGAGATTTTTCGTGCAACTGCCTACGTAATCTCGGCCCTTCACCTCCCAAAGTCTATAAAGTGGCTCAGAAATGAGAAGCTGGGAGTCACGTAGACCCTGGTTGAACCCCCAAATCTCTGACTTCCAAATTCCTCAGCGCCACTCCAGAGCGTTTCTAAACAGAACAGTCCCCCAACAACCAAGCGGAAAGCTGCGGCGGAAAGCGAAGCGGTCACCATAGGAACATAAGCTCAACCCTAAGCTCCCGAGAAAAGACAACACGCGCAAAGTTTGTTCCGGAAGGGTTTCCGTGGACAGCAACTCTGCCCGCTACCGCCCCTCACGGCGGCGCCATCAGCCAAAATCCACCTCGGGGGTCGCCCACAGACCCTAATCCCCGCCACACCCGCCCCCTGCAGCTGCCCTCTCAAAGGCCTGCCGGCCCAGGAGATGCTGTACCCTAACCCGGCGCATCCCCGTGCTTCTACCTGGGGCGGTGGGCCCCTCCCCGGGCTTTTTGGTCTGTCGTCCTCCCCGGAGATCATCCCGGCGACTACCAGGACTCGGTCTCCGCCTGGGATCCAGGTCCCTCAAGGTCTCCATCCTCCGCCCACTCCTCCTCCCTTCCCACCCCAAATCGACTTGGCCACTCCCCGGGAGGCGGTGGGAGGCGGGACCGGGCAGGAGAGAGGCGGGACCGGGCAGGAGGGAGGCAGGACCCGGCGGGAAGGAGGCGGGGGCGGTTAGCGCCGGCCGGCGTCGCCGTCGGCCCCGCCCTCACGCTCTGTACCTGAGGGGGCTCGTCCTCCACCTCCCCGGCGCTTTCACTCCGCTTCCGTCCCACGCGCCCCAAGTCCCTGTGCGCACGCGTACCTGGCTCGACCCTCCCTCTCGCGGGGACTACAAGCCGTGCGCGCGCACACACGCACGTAGCGTCGCGTACGTCCTCCTGTCTGCCTTACAGGGCGCCCTGGTAAGGCTTCTTCCTGGTCCATCCGCGCCGCGCAGGCGCAAGCCCACGCAGCGCCTAGACGACCCTCCAGAGCGTCCCGTCTCCTAGTAACCAGCCTCCACCCACTTTTCCAAGACTTTTCCCCTACTTCCTGCGGGTGGCCACCCTAACTGGGTAGAGTGCGCATGCGTAGAGCTCTTTTTTTTTTTTTCCTTTTGCCCTCTGGCTGTCTTCCCTTAGCTCTGGGGTACCTGCTGCTTTACTGCCTTTTTTGTGTGCCATTTTTCCCAGGGATCGGTCACCATTCTGGACGGATCAGTGAATTCGTTACTCCGCGGAGTTGCTTTTGGGCGCTGGGAAGGTGGTGCGCTCTCCAGCCACGGTCAGGGGCCGCTGTTCGGGGAGCCTCCTTTGGTGGGGTTCTGTTGTTGCAGCCCCGCGCGAGAGAGCCGGCCTGTTGGGGTGAGCGCCCGCACTGCACAGTCTGGGGAACCCCGACCGCCCTGTACCATCCAGTCTGGGTTGAATCTGGGAATGATAGGGAGAGGACAGTGACAGTGCAGATTCCTGACCTGTATACCTTCTCCACAAGCCAGGCCTTCTCCAGTTCAGTCCAGTTCAGTTCAGTTCAGTCGCTCAGTTGTGTCCGACTCTTTGCGACCCCATGAATCGCAGCACGCCAGGCCTCCCTGAGGCCTTCTCCAAGTCCCCCCCAAAAACTAATCACCGTTAACAAACAAAAACCGAAAGGGTAGAGTGTCTCACTTGATATTTAATATTGTATCGATTCTTTTCCTGTTTAATACAGTTTAAACTTGTCTTCTCTCTATTAGGAGCCTTCAGTCTTGGAACACTCATTTAACTTAACCAGGTATAATATTATTTTTGGCCATCCAAGTATGTTAATGTTGACCATATTAGCTAAAAGTGAAGAAAGGAGTTTTTTAGTGAAAAAGAATGAAAATTGCATTATTCTGCCAACTGGAAAAGAACTGTTTTGTCTTTGTAGTATTTCTTCTTTTTTTTTTTTTTTTCAAATAATTCCTAAGATGAAGATCATACAATTCTTTTTGGAAAAAAAGCTTTTCTAGCACTAACCTTTTTTTTTTCTTTTTTGGAGATATGTATGTATTGTCCCTTTGAATTTTTCAAAATTTATTTAAAAATATTAGTTGACACAGGTGGTTAGGCTTGTTTAGCAAAATTCAACACTTTTGAAACATACAACTGTGAATTTTTTTAAGAAAAGGGGATCTATTTCAAATGTGGTTGAATGAATGTGATATTTGTTGCACTACGAAATGATGACAAATGACATGGCTAAAATGTTGCTCTGATCTTCTAAAAGGATTCTTTGTTCTATATCTGGATGTAGGTGATGTTTTGAGGAATGCTTTTTAAGATATTTAGGAATTTTTACTCAAAAATAAATTTGAGATGATATTAGCCAAACTCTCTACAGAGAAAATTTTAAGTTATCCTTATGTTACTTTTATTTTCCCTCATCTCTTTATGGAGTATTTAATTATGNTATGGTGTTAGAAAGTGTTCTAGTTTCATTCTTTTACAGGTGGTTGACCAGTTTTCCCAGCACCACTTGTTAAAGAGGCTGTCTTTTTTCCATTGTATATCCTTGCCTCCTTTGTCGAAGATAAGGTGACCATAGGTTCATGGATATATCTCTGGACTTTCTATTCTGTTCCATTGATCTATATTTCTGTCTTTGTGCCAGTACCATACTATCTTGATGACTATGGCTTTGTAGTATAGTCAGAAGTCAGGCAGGTTGATTCCTCCAGTTCCATTCTTCTTTCTCAAGATTTCTTTGTAGCATTTCTTAATGTTTAACATATTCCACGTTTCTTAAATAACCCAAGGGCTTCTGAATACTCTAATAGTGACTTTATCTCCCTGTCTTTTCCACAGATGAAATAGATAAACTAGGTTTTTGTAGCTGATCTCGGATGATCTTGATATAGTATTTGCCTGTCTATTTCAAATGTAATCTCACATTTGAGGAGACAAACTATTCTTGATTTTGCCAGATGAGTACTCATTTTTTCCCTACAGTGTATTATTGACAGACATATGTTTTTCCCATCTCTAATTTTTTGTCATTACTGTGCCGGTACATTTTCTCATTTTGTTGCATTAAGATTTAATAACTTTGTAAGTATAGCTAGAAACTAAAGAATTAAATCATGTCCTAAGTCCCAAGAGATACATTTTCTGTGAAATATAATTGTACCTAACTGATAAAATAAGTTACAAGAAGCATGAGCTCTCGAAGACCATCCTAAAATGTTATTTTAGGGAAAATAAAGTATTCTCATTTCCTCTTAAGATACTAAGATTATTTTGAATAAAATGTTCTAATGATCTATCTAGCATTAATTGAAAAAAATAGAGAAAAATGTACAAACCTCAAAACTTTCTGATGATGTTGAAGGCTTGCGGCATGAAGGTGATTATTAACATAGGAGATGGGAAAGTACTTCCTCTAGGGAAAAAAATTAGAAGAGTTCAAGTATTTACGTATGCCACCTTTGTTGTTGCCCTTTTAGTCGCTAAGTCGTGTCCTACTCTTTGCGTCCCACGGCCATTTCCTCCTCCAGGGGATCTTCCCCTCCCAGGGATCAAACCCATGTCTTCTGTATTAGCAGGCAGATTCTTTACTGCTGGCCATCAGGGAAGTCCCAGTGGATTGTTTCTACCAACCTATTTTCTCCTCCTAGCTATGAGTCACATTCATCTGCTTCTTTTCATGCCTGGTAAGTTCATGGGGTCACAAGGAGTCAGACACAACTTAGCGACCGAACAACAACAACATGTTTTTACTGGGCTTCCCAGGTGGCTCAGACTGAAGAATCTTCCTGCCTGTGCAAGAGATGGAGGAGACAAGAGTTACATCCCTGGGTCAGAAAGATCCTCTAGAAGAGGGCATGGCAACCCACTCCAGTATTTGTGCCTGTGAACAGAGGAGACTGGCAGGCTACAGTCCATAGTCCAAGAATCAGACACAGCTTAGCAACTGAGCACACAAATCTTTATTGGCTGCCAGATGTTGCAGATTTGACATTGTTGATCCTGGAGGTTTTGGTTTTCCTTTAAATATGTGTAGGTTTTATTCTGAAGTGCAGTGAGTTTACTTGAAAACAATTTGATCCTTTAGAATTGCCCTGTTGAAAATAGTAACCACTAGCTTCATGTGGCCTTTCGAATTTGTTATTAAAATGAAATAAAATTTAAAACTTTGTCCCTCATTTGTGCTCTGTACATTTCAAATTCCAACATCTAGCTTTCATTGGTGGTTCAGTAGTAGAATTCTCACCTACCAACATCCACACGTGACTAGTGGCCACTATTACTAGACAATACATAAAGGATATTTCTATCATTGTAGAAAGTCCTATTGGACAGACCTGCTTTAGAAGCTTGCTTTTAAGCTTTATTAGGTCCAAAGTCGTCTTTATTTAGGGATAATTTGACTCCATTATTGAGGCAATACCTCAGTGGACCACCCCCCTCCTCTTACAGCCTTTTCAGGCTCTTCCCTCAAGGTTGCATGTTCATCTCTCTTCAGCTGGGCATTCATAATAAAAAGTACTGTATCTTTCTTGGATGCTTTTTTCCTTTACTTTTTTGTGTTATGGAAGAATACACCATAAAATGTAGCATCTTGGCCATTCTTAGGTGTATACTTCAGTGTATTAATTACATTCATAATGCTGTGCTGTCATCACCACCATTCATCTCCAGAACTCTTTTCATCTTGTAAAATTGAAACTCTATACCTGTTAAATAACTCCCCATGGCAACCACTATTCTACTTTCTGTTTCTTTGATTTGATATCTAGATACCTCACATAAGTGGAGTCAAACAGCATTTGTCTTCTTGTGACTGAATTATTTCACCTAGAATAATGTGCTCAAGATTCATCATGTTTTAGCATGTTGCAGAATTTCTTCCTTTTTTAATGCTGAGTATCTTATCATATATATATGTGTGTGTGTGTATATATATATATATATATATATATGCACACACACCATATCTTGCTTACCCAAGATCTATCAATGGACACTTGAGTTGCTTCCACTTTTTAGCCATTTTGAATAATGTTGCATTGAACATGTGTATACAAATATTTCTTAACGGCCCAGAAGTTGGTTTTCCAGATCATATGGTAATTCTGTTTTTAATTTTTTGAGGAACTGTCAAACTGTTTTCCATGACAGCTATACCATTGTACATTCCCACCAGTAGTGCATAAAGATTCAAATTTCTCCACATCCTCAAAAACACTTGTTTTTTTTTTTTTAATAGTAACCTAATAGGTATGAAGCAGTATCTAACTGGTAATTGTGATTTGCATTTCCCTAATTATTAGTGATGTTGAACATTTTTTCATGTTATCATTGGCCGATTTGGCCATTCATCTATCTTCTCTGGAGAAATATCTGTTTTAGTCTTTTGCTCAGTTTTGAGTTGGGTTATTCTGTTGTTGCTGAGTTTTAGTTCTCTAAATATTCTGGGTTTTAGTCTTTTATCATATATATGGCTTACAAACATTTTCTCCCATTGGATTGTCCTTTTACTCTCAAGTGTTTTATTAATGCACAAAATTTGTAAATTTTCATAAGATGCATTGTTTCAGCATCTTTAATTCTTTTTCAGCAGGGTGTCTGGCCTTCAATAATAATTTCTTTAATCCAATAAAAATAAATTAAAAGTTCTTTGTAATAGGAATGATAAGACTAAGTAGAGAAGTTCTGTTATTTTCTGCCAGGGAATAAAACATAGTATCTGGTGAGTTCCTTTAAAAAAAAAAAGTTTCAGAGAATATATAGAACCTCCAAACCTTCCCACAAAGAAAATGTAAACACTGAGGGATGGAAGGTGAATTTACTTTACCTTTTTGGCATCATCACCATGACATTTCATTACAACAAACATTGCCTGAAGTTAGTTCAAATTCCCATTCTATTCACTTGTTACAGTTTTTCCCTCAAGCAATCAAGGAAGAAACGTGTCCACTGCTTTAAGAGGTGCCAGCAATCTTATTTTTGTTCAGCTGTCCCAATGGGGTTTTCTCCAAGTAAATCTGCTACTCAGGTTTCTGCTTTGCGTATGGATTCAAAAGTGAGTGATCACTTAATGCAAAGGACTAAGAAAAGCAAATTGGAGCCAGTGACTCAGTTATTTCAAAACACCAAGAAAATAAGATTAGAAGATCCAAATAAAGAAGTCTTTACAAGGAGCAAAGACACTGGCACAGGATATCTTTCAGACAAAGCCTTGGGTCCAGTAATGTGTGTTAAAGAAAGTGATGGGAAATGACAGACTTTGAATGAAGTTATTTTGTACATTACTAAAGAAACCAAAAGTGGCTTTTAACTAAGAGGGCCTGATGAATGAGAGCCTTACCTTATTCAGTTCAGTTCAGTTCAGTTCAGTCACTCAGTCGTGTCCGACTCTTTGCGACCCCAGGCATCGCAGCACCCCAGGCCTCCCTGTCCATCACCAACTCCTAGAGTTTACTCAAACTCATGCCCATCGAGGTGGTGATGCCATCCAGCCATCTCATCCTCTGTCGCCCCCTTCTCCTCCTGCCCCCAATCCCTCCCAGTATCAGAGTCTTTTCCAATGAGTCAACTCTTCGCATGAGGTGGCCAAAGTACTGGAGTTTCAGCTTCAGCATCA